CATCTTCAACGTCTAGTGCCCAATTAAGGAATACCCAAGGATATATTTCCAACTGAAAGAACAAGTGACTACTAGATACATTGTAACAGCTCAAGCCCACCGCTAGGAAATATTGTCCATTTTAGCCCGTTATGTATCACCGTCAGCTTAACGGTTTTAAAACGCATATACTAGGGAGAGGTTTCCAGCCTTATAAGGAATGTTTCGTTCCCCTCTCCAACCAATGTGGGATCTCACAATCCACCCCTCTTGGGGGCCTGACACACCACCCAGTGCCTGCCTTTGATACCATGTGTAACAATCCAAGTCCACCGCTAGCAAATATTGTCCACTTTAGCCCATTACGTATCGCCGTCAGCCTCACGATTTTAAAACGCATCTACTAAGGAGAGGTTTTCACACCCTTATAAGGAATGCTTCGTTCTCCTCTACAACCAATGTGGGATCTCACATACATAATACTAAATAGTTTGCAGCACAGTATGAAAATCTACCGTACACAAAAGGATTAATCCAAAACAACATATTTACCGACCACAGTCCAAGCAGACTACATAATATCACCAAAAAAAAAAAAAAGGATCATGCAATGAACGAACTAGCAGTTGAACAGCGATTCAAGCTATTTGTGATCTTAGTTCATAAGAAATACTATACACCTATACCCAATTTGGTCTGAAATTTTGTGCATCTAAAAGTTCTTTTTAGTAGGAAACTAAGAGGCTACAAAAAGGTGCTCCAAGGTTCAAATTATTTTACAACTCAGTATAAATCCTACACAAAAAAAAGCAGTTTATACCACAAAGAATATCAAAAGCCGATCAGATAGAGGATACGGTAGGCAGACAAGAGCTGATCATCCTTTAGAACTTTTCCTCGACATATAAGACGTTGTTGTTCTGATAACACACCAGTTACAGAAGCAATTTGTTCTTTCAATGCAGGGACTGGCATCTATACAAGTACACAAAATTAATCTACTTGTATATTGATGTAACTCTTCATTGAAGCTAGAAAACTTGTATAAAATTTAAATCCACATTTCTTTATGATCTAAGAAAAGGTGAAAATATTAACCTGTTTATCCACTCTGAGAGTATAGGTTTCTGAATCTAAAGTTTTTATCTTAATCTCAATAGTTGTTTCAGATCCATCAGCCTCACCACAGTTCGTAGTTTCACCAACAACATTGCTTCCCATACTCTGAAAACCGAAGCGAAAAGATTAAGATACTCACACAGCTTAATTGCAATGTGTTTTCTGATATCACTAATGGGTAAACGTGCTTTTTCGCGTTAGAATGCAAAATTAACTTCTGAAAAAAATTTAGAATGATATGAAGAACAACAGCTTGGGTATGCCAAACCAATGGCCAAAATACATGCCATTTACATTGCCAAATAGTCAATTACGTTCATCCACCTAAATCAAAGAAAATTGAGGCACTTCTCCTCACCAATGCTCATCGAAGTTGAAAATTCAACATAAGTAAGAACCCCTTTCGATATCAATCATCCATTCAAAACGAAAAACCATGGAATTCAAGAAATTCATCACAAGAAATGGGGAAAAAGGAAAAGACACAATCCAATCCCCTAAGAAAATTCAGTATTTCCACATGAACAGGAAAGACAGCACATGAGTGAGCAGTCCAAGAATCAAACCCAGTAGGAGAAAAAACGAAAATCAAGACAACAACAACAACAATCCTAGGATTCCCAGAATCAAAACAACAGCAAACAGATTCCAGATTCACCGAAACAAGAAAACAGAACACAGACAATAACCCTGATGAGCTATACACAGAACGAAAACAGGGATTATAATCATACCCTTTTAAGAAAACGAAGCGCAGTGAAGGCTGAACAAGAAAAGGGGTTGAAAGAGAGGTATATGATGATTTAAAGAGGAGAAAAAAAACGATTAAAAGGGAAGAAAGAAAGCGAAATCTTACGGTGAAGGTAGGTGGTGGCGGGGGTAATTCTGAAGGGGCGGTGAGACCCTGCGAGGGAGAGAGAAGGGGAGATGGGGAGGCCCGCGAGAGCTTTGTAGTAGCCGAATTTTACAACTACTGACTGAATTTCTTGCGGCTCGCAACAGAAAATTCCTATTTTCTTCTATAGAGTTCTATGACTCATACTACTTAGTTAATTTAGCTTTATTAATTTAATCTATTTTTATTTTAAAAATGAACAAATAAATTTTATTTTTTAATCTAATTTCTATTAAAATATTATAATAAATCTAATAATATATAATCTCTGTCGTCCGCTCCTTTTAGCTAATTAGGAGACATCATTTTCAATTCGTTCTTCATTTTTCATTTAAATAGAGATTTCTCACCATGTTCAAGATAGGTCCCACAGGTTAAATGAACTTACGTATTCTCCATTTGTCTAAATAGATCATTGAAAGAACGTGGTGAAAAAAATGAGTTAGGATGATGAAAGTCTCACATCTGCTAATTTAGGGAATGATTATGAGTTTATAAACAAAGAATACTCTCTCCATTGATATGAGGTCTTTTGGGAAGCCCAAAGCAAAGCCCTAAGAGCTTATACTCAAAGTGATAATATCATACCATTGTGGAGAGTTGTGTTCATTTAACATGTTATCAAAGTCATGCCCCAAACTTAGTCATGTCAATAGATTGACAAATCCTCAAATGTCGAACAAATGACTCCAAAAGAAGAGGAGTCAAGCCTCCCCGAAGTGACTAACTTTGTTCGAGGGGAGGTGTTGGATGATGAAAGTCCCACATTGACTAATTTAACTCTCTCCATTGGCATGAGGCCTTATGGGGAAGCCCAAAACAAAGCTATAAGAGTTGAGAGCTTATACTCAAAGTAGACAATATCATACAATTATGGAGAGTCGTGTTCGTCTAACACTATCAACTATTTTCAAATTTATAGCTGGAATACCATTTTTCGTCATTTTATTTAAATTTGACACGATTAACAAAAATTGGGTTAAAATATTTATTTGAGATGATCGGAGAGGAGTGAAGTTAATTTATGGTTGATTTATGATGTTTGTGAACCAAACATAAAACATGTAAGTATAATTCAGTTTATTTTAACACGGATCATTATGTACGGTGGTTAAATCTTACAAATTATCAGGGTGTGAAAACCTTCTTAATAAACATGTTTTAAGAACGATAAATCTGTCAGCAATACATAAGAGGACCGAAACAAATAATAACCCTTAGAGTGACCTTAAATCAAATTCACAAATTTATAGAAAATTAAAATGAAATACATTAAAATAATATAATTCATAAAATAAAATTCACTCTAAATTTAAATAATAAAAAATAATACTAAAAACTATTAAAAAAGTTCAATCAACAAAACCCATAAATTATATATCCGATCTAAAAATATTATTAAAATTTCAAAAGTTTCAATAATACTGTCTGAACTTAAATATATATATAAATAATTTTAGATGAAATCGGTTAATATTTTATTTCTAAAATATCTTAAATTATGAATAGCAATTAAAAAATCTCATTAAACATTTAAAATTTATATTCTTCAACTTAAAAAGAAATGGTAAATAAAAAAATAATATATATATTATTATTGTGCTTGTATATTAATACATTTTTATGTATATGACACCTCATAAATTATTTTTAATAATATTATTTTTAAAAATTCATGAGTAATAAGTTTTTTTAAAAAAAAAAAATTAAAGGAAACTAATGAATATTTTATAAATTAATGGTATTTTTAGATTTTTTTTTCTTTTTAAAATTTAAGGATGCATTTTAAAGTAAAGTTAAATGATATTTTTATTAATTTAATAAAAAAATAATATATAAAATGACAAAAAGACCCCATAAATGTTGCCGATTTTCCGTATACTTGCCCCTCTACGGGTTTCATTCTGCCGTTTCCTGGATTAACAATCATATTTTATTTATTCATTAATAAAAACGAATGATAATTACTATATAATATTCATAAAAAGGATTATAAAATAAAATAAAATAAAATAAACCCAAATATTAAACTATATAATATGATTAAATGGTAGCCAGCTAGATAGATTGGTCTTGATTAATGTGAGCATATACTATAATCATAATATTAAAATATTCATTTTTATTTTAATTAATTTTAATTATCTCTACTAAGCTTAATCAGTACTTTTAATTAAATATTTCTATTTAATTAAGTTGACCGTGGTCAAAGAAACACAAAAATGGCGGGAGAAAAATATATATTAAATGAGTTGTGAGCCAATTAGCTTTCAAAAATTTCCCAAATCTTATTTTATATCCATTTAATTGAAGATAAAATAATTATTTATTTCCTCAATTTTTCACGAGCTACAACTAAAAAAAATTACTCGGTTGTCACCTATCCTAACGTTGAAGAATGCCCATTCGTTGGGTCAAACAAAAATTTCGAGTTGATTGAGTTGATGAATCAAGCAATTTGAATAGAGTTCACGACTCAACCTAACTCAACCCTTTATTTTCGAGTTGGTTGTGGGTTTTTTTTTTTCTTTCTAATTATTTAAAAAAATCTTACTTGTTATTAATAACTAACATCTCACCAGTCACAATGTATCACTAACATCAGTTACAAACGTCAAATATTCTTAATTTTTATAATAATCTAAAAGTAGGGTAAGATTGAGTTGAGTTATAGCCATATTTTTGTTGGTGGGTTAGGTTAACCCACGAACCGACTGGAATTTCACCAATCACAATACATTACTAACCTCGGTTACAAACGTCAAATATTCTTAATTTTCATAATAATCTAAAAGTAGGGTAAGATTGAGTTGGGTTGTAGCCATATTTTTTTGGTGGGTTAGGTTAACCGAGCCAAAAAAATATTAACCCACAAACGGACCTGAATTTTCCGGTCTTTAAAATATCTGACCCAGCTCAACTTTTATGATTTGAGTTGGGTAGTTTGAGGTTGATCAGTTTCTCTGTCATATGAACACCTCTATCATTCTGGTTTTTTTTCGTACAATCGAAATCATCAGCTCTTCAAATAATTTGTTCTAACTAAATCAATCGGTTACAGTCAATCCTACTAAACGAATAACATCATCTTAACGATGTTCGGTTTCTATTTACCTCTCGAAAAACCCTAAAAAAGCCCTAATGGTGCCTAGATTTATGGCTTCTTGGACCATGATAATCTTCTTGAATGCCTGGTAGCCAATGAGAATAGGGTTTTCTCAAGGCCTTATTTGGAGCTCTCCATTTCATCGTCACCAACAAATCTCCCCCATTTTTCTTATCCTCTTTGCTCATCCTTTTATCAAGCAACCGAATCCCTTCAACAAAAGAAACCCAAAAAGATTCAATTTTTATTCACCAAACAAATCCTTTGCAAAAACAAAACAAAACCCATTTCAGAAAATCAGCTCAGGAATTGAATGGTACCTTCAGCTTCGGAAATGATGAGGAAAAGAAGAAGAACCGCCATTGATGAAGGCTTCATTTGAAGAACTGAAGAAAGCTTCGCCTGGTGCAACAATGGCGGATGAAGATGAAAATCAAGAACAGCTTGAACCCAATGAACTTTTTGGCAAACAATATATATATAAGAGAGATATTATTATTATTTTTAATATTTTATGTTCTTGTCTTATGAAGATGGGGAACAAGGTCTGAATATTGAGAAAAAATCAATCATTTTATATGGAATATAGAATCATTGATACATTACTTGGTGGAATGTGGGTTGGTTTTTGTTTTTTAATTCTTATCTTATAGTATAAAATTAGGGTCAAACCATTCAAAGTATAGTCAAAATACTAGTAAGATCAGATCATTGAAATATATTATTATAACTATAATTACATTTTTCGATAAATAAATAAAATTAATTTATACTCCTGAACTTTAATGAACGTACTACCGGGATGTTTTTGTCTTTGACAATTTTTTTTTCTGTGACCCAATCAAAATGGTTGGGAGAAACAATAAATCATTTACAACTTTCAAGAGATCGTTTGTGTAAGATCTCACATCGGTTGAAGAGGATAATGAAATATTCCTTATAAGGGTGTGAAAATCTCTCCCTAATAGACACGCATTTTAAGATCGTGAGACTAACTACGATACGTAATGGGCCAAATCGGACAATATCTAGTAGCAGTAGGCTTGAGCTGTTACAAATGGTATCATAGCTAGACATCAGGCAGTATGCTAGCGAGGACGCTGGCCACCAAGGGAGTGGATTGTGAGATCTCACATCGGTTGGAGAGAAGAACTAAACATTTCTTATAAGGGTGTGAAAACCTCTTTCTAGTAAACGCGTTTTAAAACCGTAAGACTGACAGCGATACGTAACGGGCCAAATCGGACAATATCTGTCAGCAGTGGGTTTTAGCTGTTACAAATGGTATCAAAGCAGACATTGGGCAGTGTGCGAGCGAGGACACTGGCCCCCAAGGAGGTGGATTATGAGAACCGTTGTTAGTTGAAGAGGAAAACGAAACATTATTTATAAGAGTGTGAAAACCTCTTCCTAACAGACACGTTTTAAACCCATGAGGTTGACAACGATACATAACGAATTAACGTAGATAATATCTACTAATAGTGTGCTTAGACTATTATACTACGAGAATCAACTGAGGCAACCATAACCATAGCTATTCAATATTCTATCAGTTGACCATCCTTACTTCATGTGTTTTTAGGAAAATCTAAAAAGTCAAAAGTCTTATTTAGTTTCAATTAATTTCTATTAAATAAGCTTATAATGCAAATCAATGTCTCTTCCAACATGGAATATTGGAATTATTTTTGCATTTAAAATAAGAGACTAATAGTACGTGACATTAAAGACTATAGTTTTAACCTATAGTAAGATATAAATATATCAATAATTTAATTAATTGTTTATAATAAAGTTTGAAGGCACTCTTGATCTCCCAATAAAATGTAATATCAAAATTACCTAAGGTACAAGAACATTGTGACAAACTTACATTAAAAAAAACAACCCATTAACAGACAACAGAGTATATGATCATACACCATGTTTTCCTTTTACACGTCTAACTTGCTTAGGTCTTGTTTTAATGTCTACACAAAATTAAATTACCTAGTTTTTGTTGGATGAAAGTCCCACATCGGCTAATTTAGAGAATGATCATAGGTTTATAATCAATGAATACTATCTTTATTGATATGAGGCCTTTTGGGAAAACTCAAAACAAAGGCTGAAAGTGAACAATATTATAAATATGTATTATTTAATATGTTAATTATTTTTTTTTAATTTTATTTTTATTCTGCGTTGACCGGTCAATTTGGTTGAATTATTAAAAAAATAAAGGTCGTTCTTTTTCAACATGCATCCCAACTTCCCAAGACAAATGAGACAGGAAAACATGTTTTGCTTGTTTGTTGGAATTGGTTTTCATTATCGTCATGTCGTTCCAGCCGATTACGTGCGTCATGTCGTCGTAAAATACGTATGCTTTATTTTTTTAAATAATATCAAATATAATTATATTAATACGATTTATTTTCCTTGACTTGCTAATTTAAATTATTATTTTTTAAATTCAAAAGCTGCTAATTGGAGTAATTGAGGGGTTATGTACTTTTCTTTTTTCTTTTCACGTGAACTACACGTGGGTGGGTGATAAATTCATTATATTTTTTTATTTATTTATTAGGAATCGTTTTTTTTTAATTAATTCATGCACACGTGGAAAATCACCGTGAGGGGTAGTTGCCACCGTGGTTGAGGGAGGAGCAACTACGCCATGGTCACCGGAGGAACTACTTCACGGTCACCGGAGGAAGCGCCAAGGGAATGAATGACTCGCTTGTATGCCATTAGTTCGTGTGGACCATCGCTCCACCATTGACTGGTCCACCTAGTCAGACTGATTCACTTGGACCATCGTAATTAGTTTAGTTAGACCGGTTGGGTTTTTATAATTGGAAAAAAAAAATATATTGTTAGTATAGATAATTTTCTATTATATTAAAACTTTTTTTTAATTATTATATCTTCATAATCACTCTCATTCTTATATGATCTCGATTCATTTACATTTATCTTAAGAAAATTTTCAAAAGGCAATCCGACGTAAATTATAGAGTTTGTATGATTAAGCAACCGAAAAAGAAGATCATTTGTATGTATAAGTAGTAACTTTCAATTATTTTTCAAACCCTTAATTTACTTCGTGTCAAATACCATTTTTTAAAATACAAAAAATTAAATAGAAAAATTATTTATTTATATGAAAATTTCATAAATCCTATTTTAAAATTATTTTATTTCAAGTGTTTGAAATATTTATTATTTTTTTATTTAAAATTCCGGCTGTGGAGCGCGTGGTTCCGCGTTCCAACCTTTGATTTCATATATATATATATATATATATATAAATTTCTTTCTTTTATTTTTCTTATTTGTATTTTTTCAAAGAGATAATTTTTATTTTTATTTTAAAAAAACATGGTTGAAGTTAATTGGAAGGTTCAATAGCTAATAAAACAGGAAAATAATTTTATATGCTCAATTATTGTCTAATTTCAATAAAATATTTTAAATTTAAACAACAAATATAGAATAAAAAAATATATTTATTTAGTTAATAATAAGTACCACTTTTTTAATTAATTATATAAAGACTAAATTAATAAATTTTAATTATTAAAATTCCGATGCAACCAAATAAAAAATGCATTTATTTTTCCAATAATATTAAAATTGAAAAATAAGCTAAAAATTAAAAAAAAGTTATGGCATCCACATATTAGTTTCTAGAGATATTAAAAGTGAGTGATTTATTTATTATATTTAAATATCAATTTTTGACGCCAAAATTTTTAGAAATTTATTATAAAGAATCGACGTCACTCAACCCAGCGCCTTTGATTCCTGAAAGGGGAAGAAGAAACAGAGTTCCGAGAAGCTCTCGATCCATTTTCATGGCGGCAGCTACTTTCTTTCCTTATCAAACTTCATTCAACAATCGCCATTATCTTTCTCGCGATACTCGATTTCGTTCTCCTCTTCGAGTATCCACTCGTCGTTCTTTCTCGTTTACTGTTCGGGCGAGTTCGACGCTTGTTCTTGAGTCGGTAGGCTTTACCTTATCTTTCTTGTTCTAATTATCGTTTATAATTCGAATTTTTTATGTTTAGTAGTTCAAATGAATTTCTGTTGTGTGTTGAAGTTGAACTGTATTGTGATTTGGAGTTGACGATTCGGAAATGTATGGTTTGCGATTGACATTAGGCTGAATTCTGCTATAATTTGAGTTGGTTATGTCGAATGCTATCCTGATTTTGGTTGTTAGGGAAATTTGTAATTGTAGCTCAACTTCGAACTGTTTCATTAGGTCGATTGTGGAGTTATGATTATTGTTGTTGTTGTTCTGTTGCTCTTAGGATTTAAGCATTCAGCAGGATCGTAATTCAAAAATTGACGTGTTTTCATGCCCGGTTTGTTTTGAACCACTGTTGAGAACAGGCCCGCCAGGTTTCAACTTGTAAGTTGATTTATTGTGATGTCTACCATCTTTGATCTTCTGATATTCATCTTGTTAATTGTATGATATTTTGATCTTAGTGAAGTGGAAAATTTGCAGGCCAGCTATTTATAGGTCTGGTTTCAAGTGTGGAAGATGCAATAAGTCATACACTAGCAAGAACATCTTTCTGGATCTTACAGTTACTTCTGGAATGAAGGAATATGTTGAAGTCAAACCTGGGGGAACTGAGCTGTTTCGGTATCTGTCTGATATTTTCTTTTCAAATTTTCTTGTTAGTATTCCAATCACTTTTAAGATTTCCTTCTTTGCTTCATCAGTTAAGTATTAATTTGATGTCAACCATTACAATTTGTCTAGTAAAAGGATGGGGTACTGTATCATAGCCATTTCGCCCCTAAAGGAGTCGATTTTCAATTGCTTCTGGTCTTTGTACTTTGCAGGAGTCCACTTGTTTCATTTCTGTATGAAAGAGGATGGCGTCAAAACTTCAACCGAAGTGGATTCCCCGGCCCTGATGAAGAAGTATGCTCTTCCTCTCAATTATAACACTATCATTCAAATGTAGGATGATTTTAGATTTATAGTTTGATGCCACTCCAAAGATTATTTTTGGAGAAAAACAAGTCTTATTGTAGTGTTACATGAGTTGCCTTGGTATTGGATGTATAGTCTTTTCATTTCCTTGGATAATGTAAATTTTGTGAGATCCCACATCGGTTGGAGAGGGGAACGAAGCATTCCTTACAAGGGTGTAGAAACCTCTCTCTAACATATGCGCTTTAAAACCGTGAAGCTGACGGTGATACGTAAAAAGCCAAAGTGAACAATATCTGCTAGCAGTGGGGTTGAGTTGTTACAAATGGTATCAAAGCCAAACACCGGGTGGTGTGCTAGTGAGAAAGCTGGGCCCTTAAGAGGGGTGGACTATGAGATCTCACATCGGTTGGAAAGGGGAACAAAACATTTCTTATAAGGGTGTGGAAATCTCTCCCTAACATACACATTTTAAAACCGTGAGGCTGATGGTGATACGTAACAGGCCAAAATGCACAATATCTGCTAGCGGTAGGTTTGAGCTGTTACGAATTTGGACTGATATCTTTTCTGTAACTATATACTATTGCAGTTTAAAATGGCTATGGAATATTTTAAATCTGCTGAAGGTGGTCTTTTAGTGGATGCAAGCTGTGGTAGCGGTTTGTTTTCCAGAAAATTTGCAAAATCTGGGGCTTTTTCAGGTGTTATTGCACTTGATTTTTCTGAGAATATGCTCCTCCAGTGTTATGATTTCATCAAGAAAGATGCTACTCTTTTGAACAGGTAATTTTGTTCTATTAATTTTCTTCTCTTATAATTAATTCCTTCAAACTGCAATACACTATTAAGTCCTCTCCTCTTCCTAGAAAGTGAAGGCTATCCTAATTGGTTTATCTTCTTTTGGAACATATGCAGTAATCTTGCTCTTGTGAGAGCAGATATCTCTAGGCTTCCCTTTTCATCAGGATCAGTGGATGCTGTTCATGCTGGTGCAGCATTGCATTGTTGGCCATCTCCTTCCAATGCTGTAAGCATTTTGTCTTGTAGGATCATGTTCTATCATTTGATTAACTCCGTAGTTGTAATCCGTTGAATGCAACCAGGTTATAGAATATCACTGTTGGCTTCATCCCATTATTCACACTATAGAGATTCTCTTCTCAATCAGCATATGTGATTCAAATCATTTAAATTTCTCTCTCCATGCTCGCCACAATTCCTCTTAGTACTTAGTTCAGTAAAAGGAAGTGATCAAAGCTTACCCTTCACAACAGTCACATTCACTCGATTCACAAAATATGTCAAGTTCTACTGGTCCATTGGTATTTTGATATACCTTCTTGACTAATGCATTCCTTTTAGGAAGTTTTAATTGAAATCTGAGGAATTAGCTCTGGGGTATTTTATATATTTTTAGAAACGACACGTTCATTTACAACGTTTTCAGTTCAGATTCTCACTTGTCGGGATCATTATAAGGTTAGTAATGGATTTCTTTTAACTCTTCTTATCAGATTGCTGAGATCACTCGTGCAATGCGGAGTGGTGGAGTATTTGTGGGAACGACTTTTTTGCGGTACACATCATCCACTCCCTGGTTTGTAAGAATTTCTAGAGAGGTATACCCTTAATCTCTATTCTCTCTCATTTTTGCAATTCTAGATATCTGATTAGCTGAAAAATTACTATCACTAGTTAGAAGCACAGCTGTGGCAAACATTTATGTTATTTGATTGATATTCCCAGAGTCATGAATTTGGTTATCATGCATTTATATACATGAAGCTCGTCCTTGCATATTTTCCTTTCTAATAATTCTTGTCATTTTGCTGATTCTTTTACAATGATAAATGATAAATAATGGAACAGGCCAACCGCTAACAGATATCGTCTTCTTTAAGCTTTCCCTTCCTGGCTTCCCCTCAAAGTTTTAAAACGCGTCTGCTAGGGAGAGGTTTCCACACCCTTATAAAGATTGATTTGTTCCACTCTCTAACCGATGTGGGATCTCATAGTCCACCTCCTTTCATGGCCCAACGTTCTTGCTGGCACTCATTCCCTTCTCCAATCAATATGGAATCTCACAATCCACTCCCCTTTGGGGCTCAACGTCCTTGCTAGCACACCGTCTAGTGTTTGGTTCCGATAGCATTTGTAATAACCCAAACCCACCACTAGCATATATTGTCATCTTTGAGCTTTTCCTTTTGCGTTTCCTCTCAAGATTTTAAAACGAGACTGCTAGGGAGAGATTTCGTCACTATTATAAACAATGATTTGTTTCTCTGTCCAACTAATGTGGGATCTCACAAATAAAGTATTTGGACATCCTTTAAGGTGGTGTAAACAAACTAGCTTCCTAAATGGTAAATTGAACCTCTTACTGGCTTATATTTTTCAGTTTCACTCCTGAATTCTGTTTTAATCCACCAAAACAACCATATAAATTACTGCCCACCATCATCATCATATGATAAACAATTGCAATTTAACTGACTAGTGAACCAGTGATAAGTTTCTCTCTATGAACAATCTGCATTAATGGACTTCTGAGCGTTATAAGTTTTATATGCTGCAGCGTGCCTTTCAGAACTTCGGCTACTTAACAGAGAAAGAAATAGAGGATTTGTGCAAATCCTGCGGTCTGATTAACTATTCAAGCAAAATTCAGCAATCTTTCATTATGTTCTCTGCTCAGAAGCCATGAAAGTAAGTTCTCAATCTCATCTTCATTTGTGATATCTAAAAATTTATAACGATGATTGAATACAATAATGTGGAAATATCTGGAACTGAAAATGATAATTAATTGAATTGAATAGAATCATTTGTTAATAAATACGCCACAATTGTCAATCTTGAGAAGAGACATGTAAATTGTAATAATAATAGAAATACTTCTCTCTTTGTGTTTGTAGTAACCCATGTTTTGAAAAATGTAACTCCATAAAATCTAAAAAATATTACATTAATCATTAATTTTCTTTAAAAAATGCCATATTGATTTAAGAAAACAAAAAATTAATGTAGGAGTTTGAATTTAGTATATGGTTTGTGCAATTTGCAATATTTATTTGAATGATTGATTGTGATTTTGTAAATTTAGGGGTTTATAGATTAAATTTAAACATTAAAGAGTGTGATTGTTGTTAGATGAACATGACTCTCCACAATGGAGAGAGTATTCATTGATTATAAACCCATGATCATTCCATAAATTAGTCGATGTGGGACTTTCATCCAACATCTCCCCTCGAACAAAGTACGCCTCCCCTTAATCGAGTCTCGACTCATTTTCTTTTGGAGTCTTAGTCATTTTTACTATGCCTTCGAGGAGTCTCGACTCCTTTTCTTTTTGGAGTCCTTTGTTCGACATTTGAGTATTCTATTGAGATGACTAAGTTTTAGAGCATGACGTTGGTACCATGTTAGATGAACACGACTCTCTACAATTGTATGATATTGTCTACTTTAAGCATAAGCTCTCATGGCTTTGCTTTGGGTTTCCTCAAAAGGTCTCATACCAATAGAGATAGTATTTCTTGATTATAAAACCACGATCATTCTATAAATTAGTCGAGGTAGAACTTTGCATTTTTTTTCTTAATTTTTAAACATAATGCTATAATGCCACAGAGGTGATGATATAGCTTTAAATTATCCATATTTTATTTAAAAAATATATTGCTTAACCAAATGTACAGTAACTTACCATGTTATGAGGTTATATATATATATATATGTGTGTATATATATTTGTTTATGTTTAATTCGGTGGATTTAAATAAATGAAAAATAGCAGTAACATCAATATTTAATGAAATCAAATAAATATAAAAAAAAGGGATAAAAACAAAAGAGGGGGAAGGTGGGAGGTCGGTAGATTAAACAATTAAAAATAGGGAACGGGCAATTGGGAAGGAGAAGAAGTGGGGTTTCAGAATTCAGACTGACACAAAGCCAGTCCAATCCCCACGTGCGCTACTCACGCGCCTTTCTCTTCTCCCCCCCCCCCCCCCCCCCCCCC